ACTCCAAAAAAATAAAAAAAAAAATTTATTGTAGAGACGAGGTCTCCCTAAGTTGTCTGGGTGGGTCTCGAACTCGCGGACTCAGGCAATCCACTCCCCTCACCTCCCAAAATGCTGGGATTACAGGCTGAGCCACCAAGCCTGGCCTTAATTTAATTTTTTGAGTCAGGCTCTCACTCTGTCATCCAGGCTGGAGTGCTGTGGCATGATGATGATGGTCATGGCTCACAGTTGCCTAGACTTCCTGGGTTCAGGTGATCCTCCCACCTCAGCCTTAAAAGTAGCCTGTTTTGTAGAGATGAGGTTTTGCTATGTTGCCCAGGCTGGCCTCAAACTCCTGGGCTCAAGCAATCTGCCCACCTCAGCCTCAGTCTCCCAAAGTGCTGGGATTACAGGTAGGAGCCACTGCACCTGGTCTTAGGATCACATCTAAATCTGTTTTTTTGAGTTGGAGTCTCTCTCTGTGGGCATTTGGTACAGTGTTGGGTTGTGCTTAGGTTTTGCAGAACATGTTGGACCGTGGAGGAGCCATGTCAAGGGATGTGCTGTGCCATGTTAGGGTGTGTCATTGCTCTTCTGTGCTGCTGCAGCCTGGTCTGGTCCCCCTCACCTGTCCCCTCCCTTCTTCCTCGATTCTTGGTCCCCTTTCTGCTATATTGGGTTTGGAGTGGGGGAAGTCCTGGGATCCTCCGACCCACACCCAAAGTTCCTCCCCTGCTCTCTCCATGGTCCCTGATGGTCTCATTTGTGTCAGGTACCATTGCACCCAAGGATACGACTTTCTATGGCTTCCTGAAGCCCTGGCTAGGTGAGTAACTGCAGGTGATGGGGGTTGGGGACAGTCTTTTGGGGCCAGGGGAAGGTGCTGCCCTTGCTCACTGTCCTTGGCTGCTCTACTAGGGGATGGGCTCCTGCTGAGTGCTGGTGACAAGTGGAAGTGCCACCGTCGGATGCTGACGCCCGCCTTCCATTTCAACATCCTGAAGCCCTATGTGCAGATCTTTAACAAGAGTGCAGGCATCATGCACGTGAGTTCCTTGAACACAGGATCCGAACTGGAGCCTTGGGAAAGGGCAGTAACTTCAGACAGATCTGATCTGAAAGTTTGGCTCTTCTGGGTGGCTTTGGGACCATTTATTTTCTGCTTCAATCTTTGGTTTCTTCCTTTACAAAATGGGGATAAATAATCCATACTTAGCATGGACAAGATGATGAAATGGAGACATGTTCCTGGCACATAGTGGCCTCAGAAGACCTTAGTTTCCAGTGTCCCTCCATAGCCCTGTACACACAAGGCAGGAAGAATGAAGTTTGTATAGCAGTTCTTTTTGCAAAACAAACCACTTTATTATTTTTGTTTTATTTTATTTATTTATTTTTTTTGAGTTGGAGTCTCACTCTTGTCACCCAGACTGGAGTGCAGTGGCCGCTCCCGACCACGACAGCCTCGACCTGCTGGGCTCTGGCGATCCTTCAGCCTCAGCCTTCCAAGTAGCTGGAACTACAGGTGTGCGCTACCACACCCGGCTAATTTTT